CTCGAAGGCTACAAGCGGCGCACGACTTACCAGCGAGAGGAACCCCCGCGACGGCCGCATAGCGATAGGGGTCAAGTTGCCGCCCCTCAGCTTCGCCTCTACCGTCTCCCCCACCCGACGAAGAATTTCCTCGTCGGAAAGGGCGGAGGAAGACATCCGGGTGCCCTCAATGGGCTCACCCGGCTTCATCTCGAACAGCCGCCGCCGCCAAGCCATCAGCGGCAGCACCCTCCGGCGGTGGAAGGCGGCCACGACTATAGCCGCAGTGAGACCGTGGCCCCACAGCCTCGCCAGCCCCTCTAGAAGCGGCTGCAGCTTGGGCTGGTCATCCTTCGGGACGCCGTACTTCCATCTCTCCGGGCAACTCCCCACAATCCACCCAGTATAGGGGGGAAGTCCTCCGTCATCATTGTGAAGGTAGAACCAACTCGTGTACCACCGGCGATTGGATGACGCGAGCTGGGCCAGAATGTAGAGGTGTAGGTGGTCCTGGCGCACTTGGAGAGTGCAGCTGCCGGCCCTCGTCGCCTTCCTCGTACCCGACGTGCCCGTCGGCTTGGTAGTGTGCCCCGCCCGGAATAGGTGGAGCCACAACTCCCAATGGGGAGCAATCCCCAAGTACCCCTCGCAGACGGCAACAAAGATAGCCGCCTAAGCGATGTAGTTGGGATTGAAGTTGTGGAGCTCCACGCCGTAGTAATGCGAGAGCGCCCGCATGAACCAATCCGCCGGGACGCCGAGGCCACGCTCGTGAAAGGAGACGAAGCTTACGACGTAGCCGTCGTGGGGCCTCGGCTCTGGCTCACCGTACGGAGCAATCCACTCCGGCCTGGTGGGGTCTGTCACCGGGCGAAGGAGTCCGCCATCGACAAGCGACTGAAGCATCTCCTCGGTGACATCCGACGGATCCCAGGGGTCCGCCTCGACAACGACGATGTCGCCGGCCATGGGTGCGATGGAGGAATCGGGTGCGGCGGTGAGTTTTTTTTCTCTCTCCCACGCTCTTGCTTTTTCATCGCTTTCTCCCTAGGCTCGCTCTTCTCCCCTCTTCTCCCCGGCACCCGCTGCTCTAGCGACGGCTCGACGGAGGCAGTGCTAATGCAGGCAAGGTAAGACGAGGAGGGGCGGGACTCTTCGGGTATTTATGCAGGGAGGAGGCGAAATGAACGGGCGACGAAATCGGGGAAGTTTCCCCCCCCCCTGATCCGGCGTAGTTAACCACGAGCCGATTTCGTCGGCCCACGCGCCCACGTCTCCCTCATTAAATACGAGAACAGTTACGTCCCATCCACCACGTCACGCTCGGCCATTACGGCAGCAGGCGTTGTTTCGCCTCCCTAGGTAACCGCCTCAAAAGGTGCTCCACCCGTTGCCGAGCCAATAGGGAAGATATTCCCCATGGTCTATTCCTTTGATATGAAGGAACCAGGCTCTGAGCCTATTACGGTCCAGGGGTTCGAAGGCTGGGCCCCAAGAGGTTTCGACAGCCGCCCCAGGATAACAGAGTCAGGGACGACCGCGGGCGAGCCTATACGGGGCCGAGACCCAAGCAAGCGAAACGCTTGGGATGCCCAAAGTCGTGTCCGAGACTAGCAAGAAGGTCTCTGAATGGGATCCCACCGTAGGGAGGCACCGAGCCACCGAGGCCCAGCGAACGGCCTCGGCACCCACTAGAGAAATCCTCTGGTACTCTTGGAGTGTCTCTGGACCACTAGCTGTCCCCCTAGCGAACAGGGTTCGGGCCTCCACTCGGACTACCCGAAAATAGCTCACCGGAGGTGCCACCGCTCGTGCCCACCGAGGGTAGCGAGACACATTCCACCCCTCCTTCTGAGCGAAAAGGAAGCATGAGGGTCGTACAAAAAGTCAGGGGAACCCCTGATGGCCTTCTCGCTCTATGCAGGGGCTAAGGGGCTCTTCCTGTAACCTTGCTGAGACCCGGCGACCCCGGCTCACACTCAAAGGGGCTCAACAAAACAAACCCTCCTTCTTAGCGAAAAGGAAGCGTGAGGGTCGTACAAAAAGACAGGGGAGCTCCTGACGGCCCTCTCGCCCTGTGCAGAGGCTAGGGGGCTCTTCTTGCAGATACACCGAGACCCCACGACCCGGGCTGGCACCCAAAGGGGCCTCGGCAAACAAACCCTCATGCGCGAGGGGCGTATAAAAAGCCAGGGGAACTCCCGACGGCCCTCTCGCTCCGCGCAGAGGCTAGGGGCTCTTCCTGCAACCTTGCCGAGACCAGCGGCTTCGGCTCGCACCAGAATGGGCTCGGCAAACAAACCCTCCGTCCAAACAAAAAGGATATGTGAGGGTCGGATGAAAAAGCCAGGGGACCCCTGACCGCCCTCCTGCTCCTGGCGGAGGCTTGGGGGCTCCTCCTGCACCCAAGACAAAGACAAATGGTCTAAGTCCACGCTAGAAGTTCCGTTAAAGGGCACCGAGCCCGTTATGGTCCAGGGGTTCGAAGGCTGGGCCTCCAGAGGTTTCGACAGTCGCCCCAGGGCAACAGAGTCAGGGACAACCATGGGGTGAGCCTACGAATGGCCGAGGCCCGAGCGAACGATCACTCGATCGCTCGGGGCGTCCTAAGTCGTGTCCGAGACCGCCAGGGAAGTCTCCGAATGGGATCCCACCGTAGAGAGGCACCGAGCCACCGAGGCCCAGCGAACGGCCTCGGCACCCACTAGAGAAACCCTCTGGTACTCTTGGAGTGCGTCTCCGGACCGCTAGCCGACCCTTAGCGAACAGGGTTCGGGCCTCCACTCGGACTACCCGATAACAACTCACCGGAAGTGCCCACGCTCGTGCCCATCGAGGGTAGCCTGGCACATTCCACCCCTCCTTCCGAGCGAAAAGGAAGCGTGAGGGTCGTACCCAAAGTCAGGGGGATCCCTAACGGACCTCTCGCTCCGTGCGGAGGCTAGAGGGCTTTTCCTGCAGCCTCGCCGAGACCCTCGCAACCCGAACTTGCGCTTGTGGGCTCGGCAAATGCGATAAAAACTCCTCGCTCAAACGCGAAAACGAAAAAAGCCCTTGGAGGAGTAACTCCACTCCTCCAGGGCCTCGGGGGCTACACCCGGCGGGTGCGCTCGCGCGCACCCACCAGAACCTCAAGAAACAAAACCTAATTCCTACGGGAGCGGGAATAAACCAAGCCTCGGCGAACCCTCAGGGAGAGTGCACGCACTCCCCCGGAGGCTCGGGGACTACTGTCGGGTACCTTAGGACGGGGTACCCCGAGCGAACATCAAAGGGGTCACTTAAGTCCCATCAAAATACAAAGCTAGAAGATAAGCCGTGGGCCCCTCACCCGCCACGTCCGAGCCCGCCAGGCTCTCCGCCTCATCTCGAGCCTCACGCAGAAGGTCTCGGCGTCCTGACGCAATCTCCGCCTCGCGCGAGGCTCTCCACGGAAGGCCTCGGCGGGGAACACAATCTCCGCCTCGCGCGAGGCTCTTCACGGAAGGCCTCGGCAAGGAGTCCGATCTCCGTCTCGCGCGAGGCTCCGCCCTCCGTCTCACGTAAGGCCTCATTCTCCGTATTGCGCGAGGCCAGGTTATCCATAGTCCGTCGCCCCCGCTTCGACCGACCCTCCTGACAGCACATCATGTCCCATTAATACTTCAACCACTCCCGCAATCTCAGCCGGACGACGGCTTGACACCACAGAATGACCGACGGGACCTGAGGTCGCATCAACGCCATACTGGCTGGGACAGGGCGCTGCAGGGATTACCGGCCACTGTGTTCTGACACTGTGCCCACGATCAGCGCCCACACTGCACTGTGCCCCGCGATCCCCACCTAGAAAACAACATTGCGCGGACTACTTGGCCCGGGTCATCACCGCCTCCAAGCCAGCGCGCCAGATCAGCCGCCCTCTCGGAGCCTCGGCACTATACACCAAGGTCTCGGCTATCTCGGGGTTCGTGCTCGCCGAGACCCCCACTGCGGTGTAGCCTCGGCACTGACCGAAGCCTCGGCCTCACGTGCCGCCAATCCACAGCGATCCGCGTCCTGGCCGCCGCACCTGCTCCGAGGTAGCCCAGAAGCTCCCATAATGCACAGGGTCGGACGTGACCAGCACGTCGCCCCAGTGCTCCAAGGATGGACCACTCCGACGACCACGCCGCCACAGGAACAGGCCACAGGGCTCGGACACACCGCCTCTTTTGGCACGACGCCGTATAGTCAGCACATGTACTGTCCTTGTCCTCCCTTCAACTATAAAAGGAGAGGACTTGGACCCCTTAGGAGATATAGAGGGAGAACACCTGGTAGCTCACACACATACACATCCCAGTCGCCTGAGAGCAGCGTCTCAAGCAGCCCACACGACACCTCGCCGAGACCTGGGATTAGCTCCCTCTCTCCCTGTGCTTGTAACCCCCTACTACTAGCACTTCGGTGCAAGGAATACAAGATCGATCTCTCAGACTGGACGTAGGGCATCGATTGCCTGAACCAGTATAAACCTTCAGCCTGTTCGCTTGCTCGTAAACGATCGTAAATTTCCAGCCGGGAACAGTGTTTTTCTCTCACACCAAACCAGCCAGCAGTAAATAATCCACGATACGATACGGCCTCCCGAACAGGCTGCTTGTGCCTCTTTGCATCACCATCCGGGATTAGGGGCACGCAGTTCAAATTCACTAGTTGGTAGAGGACCCCCGGTCCGAAACACCGATATATACGTTAACCATATTTGATAAATATTCTATAGAAAAAAACAGTAGTCAAAGTTATACTATGAAGACCCTATCAGTCCAAGACATCAAGATTTTTTTTTTGAACTAAGCATTTCATTACTCATCGACCCAGCCGAATCGCTGGTTACCAAAACCCCAATCTCAGGAGGTACATCTTCCCAAGGGGTACAAACGGTCCCCATCTGATTGATCTGCATTGGTCATTATTAAAAGTAAAAACATACTAAAATTCCATATGAAAATTGTCGAAAAAGGGCCAAATAGGGCTAAGGATCCACGGACGGATATTACTTATGCATACTTCTTTGGCGCCTCTTTATCATTGACTTCAGCTGGAGGCAGTAATTCCGTGAGGAATTTCTCGGTGGCAACCCACGCATTGTATACGCCGCTCAGCTTGTCGACGATGGCAGTCTCGTTAGCCGAGCACGGCTTCTCCGGCGGCGGCGGGCACGAATACTTGCAGAGCGGTGGCTTTTTGCCATCCCCCTGGACACAGGAATGGATGGTGGCACGTATGTCTGCCAGGTTCTTCACCTGCCCCTCCGTGGAATAGATTTCTAGGTTGACCTTCTCGATGGCTGTGCTGCAGTCGTTGACGACCAAATCGAGGGCCGACGCTGGCTTCACGTCGGATACCAGACCGCGGTGCTGGCCTCCTTCGTCGTCCTGGCCAGCGCCAACAGCTCGTCGCTTCACTTTTCAGGTTACTTCGTCAGCCCGCAGGATACGTGGAGGACACCGCTGTCCATGGACTTCTCCATCTCCGCTACCTCGGCTTTCTTCTCCTCACCGATAGGGATGAAAACCGGCGGAAATAGACGGAAAAAATCTTCTCCTGTTTTCATTTTTGTATTTTTTGCGGAAACGAGATCGGGTTCGGGAAAAAACAGAATTGAAAACCGATGGAGATATATGGAAATACAGAAACAGATAAATACAGACGGAGAGCTAGAAAATTAAGTTAGAATAACATGATTTTTTCGACAAATCAGGAGGAGCCAAGGGCTCCTACTGGTAATATATTAAAATAAAAGGAGTTCCAAACTAGGAACCCAGACAAAGTACAGGGTTAAGCAAAGTTAGGAAAAGTGGGGGAGGGGGGAGAATTCAGGAGACAAAAAAAAGAAACAAAGAAGATCAAGAAAATTACAATTGTGATTGAATCCATGAATCTAACAGAGGGGTGACTTCAACTTTCGACCTGTGCAGCAGCAGGAGGGATTCCACTGTAAGATATCTTCTACAGTCTTCCACAGATGGATTCTTGTTTCTGAAAATTACATCATTCCTCACCATCCAGATAGTCAAACAAAGAAGAATGAAGATGTCCAGAGCAAAAGGAACATTCAGGAGGGCTTTCCATGCTTGAAAAATTTGAGGAATTGTGAGGTCATCATCAAATTGAAAGTTTAGCATCCCCAGCAATCCCGGGCAAAGGGGCAAAAGAATACGAGATGCATAACTGTTTCCTCAGGTGGTTGCTGACAAAGCACACAGTGATAGTCATCCAAATGCATTCTTCTCCTTCTCATCATGTTTCTTGTACTTAGTCTATCAATTAATATTAGCCAACAGAAAACTTTATGTTTGTTTTGACAAGAAGTTTTCCAAAGCCACTTAAAGATGGGGTGAGACTGTGTGTGACCAATCAGTGAATGATAGGCCTTGGAGGATGAGAACTGTGCAGATCCCCATATGTAAGTCCAATTGTCATTCAATTCGTCAAGCACTAAGAAGGAGAGTTCATACTGAAGTTCTTGCAACTGATTATATGCTTCAACTGAAACCGGCAGATTGAAGAGGCTTGGAAGTGAATATGAGGTATGGGCTAAAAACAAACTTATCAGTTTGTTTTTTGCAAAGGAGTGAAGTTCTGGAAACTGGATCTTCCTTACTTGACCATTCCATAAATCTTCCCAGAGTAAACAAGACTTTCCATTGGAGATTGACACTGCAGCCATGCCCTTGAACTTGTCCAAAAGTTTCAAAATATCACGCCACCAAAAAGAGCCTTTTGGACTTGCAGAGTTAGGTAATCTGTCATTTCTATAATATTTGTCCCATATCAAGTTCCCCCATGGCAGATCAATTCTGTTGAAAAACTTATGGAGATGTTTGAGCAAGAGGGCTTCATTTTGTGTTTGCAAGTTCAGTACTCCTAGACCACCTTCACATTTTGGAATGGTGGCCATAGGCCAGGCAGCTTTTGCCACTTTTCTGGTGTTCACGTCTGCACCCCTCCTTAAACAGTTTCTTCTGAATTTATCTATATGTTTTATCACTGTTTTACGCAGAGAAATTGAACACATTGTGTAAGTTGGTAAGGCTGTCAAGACAGAATTTGTCAGCTCTAGTCTGCCAGCTTGACTGAGGAAAGGCGATACATAGTTCAACCTTCTCTCACATTTGTTAATCAGTGGGAGGAAATCATCAACCTTTGGCCTACTTAATCCCATTGGCAGACTCAGATAAGTCAAAGGGAAAGAACCAGTAGCACAACCAAAGGTATTGGCAAGGTGGTTCAGTTTTTTAAAGCTAACATTGATAGGCACCATCATGGATTTGGAGAAGTTGATTCTTAGGCCAGTTGAGTCACTGAAGGATTGAAGAATGCCTTTCAAGAAGAATAGCTGTGTGGCAGAGGCTTCCATGATAATCAGAGTATCGTCTGCATATTGAATGATAGGGAAATCCATTGATGGGGCAGGAATTGGCAGACTGAGGTGACCAAGTTGTGCAACTTTGTTGATGATGGGTTGTAGAAGGTCAGCTGCAAGAACAAACAGTAAAGGGGAGAGGGGATCACCCTACCTAACACCCCTTTTGCAATGGAAGGTTTTGCTTGGGACTTCATTGAGCAAGACTGCAGAAGTGCCAGAGTTCAGTATTGCTTCTATCCAAGATCTCAATTTTGTTCCAAAGTCTTTATGGGCCATGACCTCCAAGATGACCTTATGCTCAATTTTATCATAGACTTTTTCAAAGTCCAGTTTTCGAACCACAATTTCCTTTTTTGAGTGATGGCAGAGGTGAAGGTATTCAAATGACCATGCTATGCAATCCTGTATAGTCCTTGTCCTGATGAAACCACATTGGTTTTGGTGCACTAGCTGCACGATCACACTTTGTAGCCTATTTGCCAGGAGTTTGGTGATCAACTTGATGGAACAATTCAACAGTGAGATTGCCCTGAAATCACCTACAAACTGTGCACCATCAATCTTAGGTATGAGGGTGATGAAGGAGTCATTTATACTCTGGAGACAAGCTGAGTTTTCCTGGAAGCCATTACAGAGAGCATAAAAAACATCCCTTATAAAATGCCAGTATTTTTTGATGAAGTCATTATTGAAACCATCTGGCCTAGGTGCTTTGCAATTGGGCAAGTTCCTGACCACTGTGTCAATTTCCTCATTGGTGAAAGGATCTTCTAGCTAGGCCAAATCAGGTTTACTGACCAGGAGAGAACTCAGGTTGAATGAGATGGAACTGAAATCTAACTGTCCAAGCCTGTCCTTAAAGGCTTCCCAAAGGACCTTTGCCTTGTTAATGTGATTGTAGACCACTTCACCATTTTGCTTCTGGAGTTGAGTTATTAAATTGTTTCTGTGTTTGATGGTGGCAGTTGATCAAATATTCTCAAATATACATGAACAAAGTCACAAAATAATATACATGTATGAAGTTATGGGTCCAATATTCACTAGCATGCCATGTGTTAACATGTTAACATGGATAATTGGTGATTAGTAGATTTATGATCATATCAATTTTTAGACATATATTGAAAATGAGATGGAAAATGGAATAAGGGATTTGCTAAAATTCAAGTACTTGAATTTTAGCTTTCTTTCAGGTGACGATTATTGCATACATTTTATACTAAAATTGTAGGTTTAGTTAGTTGCAATTTATGTAGGCATAAGCTACAATTTTAGACTCGAGAATAAAAAACTCGTTAGATAAAATCATAAACCCGACAAAATCTGATCCATGATGGCACAAAAACAATTAACAATTATTGATATAGTTAAACAACGACAAAAAAATGATATGTTATAATACAAAAGACAAATAACAAATCATAAAAGTAACAATTTACTTGTACAAGTTGGTTGTACAAGAGTGTTATATGAAATCATCTTAAAATTTAGGCACTTGAAATATAGGAGAAGTGACGGAATAAATGCAGATTAATTTCGGATGAAAATGGGATCCCGTGAAAACGGACGAAAAAAACACCCTCTTCCGTTTCCTAATAAATATGCAAATGAGCGGGACTAAAGTAGGAGACGGGACGGGTCGGGACAGAATTTTTTTTCATCCGTTTTCATGCGAGACCATAGAATTCATCGGCGGCATCGGAGTCGAACAGTTCTTGGAGCTGGGTCCCTAGGATCCTCATGGACCCGGTGGCCTCCCCCAGCTTCTTCACGGTAGCGGCCTCGTCAACCGAGCAAGGCTCCGGGCAATTACACTCGCAGGGGCCGATCGGCCCATAGTTGGCGATGACTTTGTCCTAGAGGTACCCCTTCAGCACCCTCAGCGCTTCCAAGTTCGCCTTCGCGGCGGTGGCTTTGGACGCGGTCTCATCAAGGACCTTGGTGCACTCCGTGATGCAGGAATCTCTCCTAAGGTACTCGGCGGCAAGCTTGGGCCCGGCGATTATCGCTTTCGTCTCAGCCACGCTCTTGGTCAAGTTTGATAGATTGACGCTGCACTCCTTGGGATTCGTCGTGTTGTTGCATCCCGGATACACCTCGATCGGCTCATTGGTGGCGCTCGTCGGCGGCGGCGCTCACACACGGGCAGAGTTGGTGACGGCCGTGAAGCTGATGACGAGGATGATGACGAGGAGGAGGCCGGCGACGGGACTCAGCAGTTGAGATCGAGGCACTACGAGAGAAACCATGATCGATGGTTTGGTTGGTCGTATGATGCTTTTGCTTCGATGAATTATTTGGTGGGCCTGTATAAATATATAACACAAACTTAATGCACCGGATCGATAGATCGAGTGGCAGACCTTGTGCCCCGGATGCCCGATCGACTCAGTTCCTCCATTCACTGGCTCTCTATCTTTCCTATATTTAAACGACGGAAACAATGACAGCGGTTTCCTTAAAATTATCCTAATTTAGAGCATCTATAGGAGACTCTCTATATCCTTTCTAAATGCTAAGAATAGAGATTTTGATGAAAAACTAACATCCAACAGCTTGTCTAAATAGTTATGCAATATAGTCATCTTTTATTCTCTAGCGAAAAATGCAACGAGAATGGCCCCAGAGTGCGATATATAGAAAAGTTGTTGAAGAGTAAAAATATATAGAAAACAATTTTATAAAAATAACTCTTTAAATAATAATTTAGAGAGTGAGATTTAGAGATGCTCTTAGATTGCCGATCTGAGAGATATTGTGGACACACCATAGTTCCTAAAAAGTCGTGGCTCTTCTCGCATGTTCTCATGCCTCTATGTAAGCTGGGCACGAAGCGAGAGCGAGAACTGAACCGAATAACCGGCGAAATCGTTCGGTTTCAGGAGTTCGAAACCGAAATTATTCGGTTAATTCGGTTCAGCACTTGGTTAACCGAATTGACCTGAACCTGTCGAACTAAGCTGTTGGACCTCTTGTTTTTTTTCTCGCCGGGCTTGAATATTGCTCTATACTTGAATGTTTGAGAGAACAATAACATATATGTGTTGTATGTTGTTTTATCTTTTGCATTCTTTGTTTAAATTGTCCTTTTGTTGCAT